AAGAAAGAAAGAAAGAAAGAAAGAAAGAAAGAAAGAAAGAAAGAAAGGAAAGAAAGAAGAAAGGAAAAGAAAGAAAAGGGGAAGGAAAAATATGAAAGAACAAACAGTAGCCTAGGTCAGTGCATCAACAAGCCCCTGAGCAGCTTGACACCCTATTCTCTACCCCTTGGAGCCTGCCACTCTCTAGGACAGTTTCCATTTTGCCCTAGGGGCCAAGCCTAGCTCAAAGGAGCAGCTTCCTGTGTGGAGACAGGAAGCACAGGGGTCTTGGTAGGTCAGTTGTTGTTGTTATTATCTGAAGGCAAGGTCTCTACACAAGCCTGGCTATCTTGGAACTCACCATGTAGACCAGGCTGGCCTCCAGCGCACAGAGATCTGCCTGCCTCTGCCTTTCAAGTGCCAGCCTTTAAAGGCGTGTCACTACCACTCAGGACAATGAACATTTGAGGAGAGAAGGTGGGTGACTTAGGGCAGGACATTGTCACAGGTGACTGCAGCTAGGATTCCCCTCAAGTCCCCTTTCTAGGACAGGAGCCTCAGGCTGCCCTGACTTCTTGCTTCTCTGCCTTTTCTGCAGGATGAAGATGAGACGCTACAAGCTCTTTCTCATGTTCTGTATGGCCGGCCTGTGCCTCATCTCCTTCCTGCACTTCTTTAAGACCTTATCCTATGTCACCTTCCCCAGAGAGCTGGCCTCCCTCAGCCCTAACCTCGTATCCAGCTTCTTCTGGAACAATGCCCCCGTCACTCCACAGGCCAGTCCAGAGCCGGGTGGCCCCGACCTGTTGCGGACCCCACTGTACTCGCACTCCCCCTTGCTCCAGCCACTGTCCCCCAGCAAGGCCACGGAGGAGCTGCACCGGGTGGAGTTCGTGTTGCCGGAGGACACCACCGAGTATTTTGTGCGCACCAAAGCCGGAGGGGTCTGCTTCAAACCAGGTACCAGGATGCTGGAGAAACCTTCTTCAGGCCGGACAGAGGAGAAGCCGGAGGTGGCTGAGGGCTCCTCGGCCCGGGGTCCTGCTCGGAGGCCAATGCGACACGTGTTGAGTGTGAGGGAACGCCCGGGCAGCCGAGGCACCAGGCGCAAGTGGGTTGAGTGTGTGTGCCTGCCAGGCTGGCACGGCCCCAGCTGCGGGGTGCCTACTGTGGTGCAGTATTCCAACCTGCCCACCAAGGAGCGCCTGGTACCCAGGGAGGTGCCCAGGCGGGTTATCAACGCCATCAACATCAACCACGAGTTCGACCTGCTGGACGTGCGCTTCCATGAGCTGGGCGACGTGGTGGACGCCTTCGTGGTGTGCGAATCCAACTTCACCGCCTACGGGGAGCCCCGGCCACTGAAGTTCCGCGAGATGCTGACCAATGGCACCTTCGAGTACATCCGCCACAAGGTGCTGTACGTCTTCCTGGACCACTTCCCCCCCGGGGGCCGTCAGGACGGCTGGATCGCAGACGACTACCTGCGCACCTTTCTCACCCAGGATGGGGTCTCCCGCTTGCGCAACCTGCGGCCGGATGACGTCTTCATCATCGACGACGCAGACGAGATCCCTGCGCGGGACGGCGTGCTGTTCCTCAAGCTCTACGACGGCTGGACGGAGCCCTTCGCCTTCCACATGCGCAAGTCCCTCTATGGCTTCTTCTGGAAGCAGCCGGGCACGCTGGAGGTGGTGTCGGGCTGCACGGTTGACATGCTGCAGGCCGTCTACGGCCTGGACGGCATCCGCCTGCGCCGCCGCCAGTACTACACCATGCCCAACTTCCGGCAGTACGAGAACCGCACGGGCCACATCCTGGTGCAGTGGTCTCTGGGCAGCCCGCTGCACTTCGCGGGCTGGCACTGCTCCTGGTGCTTCACCCCCGAGGGCATCTACTTCAAGCTCGTGTCGGCGCAGAACGGCGACTTCCCGCGCTGGGGTGACTATGAGGACAAGAGGGACCTCAATTACATCCGGGGCTTGATTCGCACTGGGGGATGGTTCGACGGCACGCAGCAGGAGTACCCTCCTGCAGACCCCAGCGAGCACATGTATGCTCCCAAATACCTGCTCAAGAACTATGACCAGTTTCGCTACCTTCTGGACAACCCCTACCGGGAGCCCAAGAGCACTGTGGAGGGTGGGCGCCGGAACCTGGGCTCCGACGGGAGGTTACTTGCTGCCAGGGGCAAGCTGGATGCCGTGGAGGGCTAGCGCTGCGCAATTTCACAGGGCCGGGCAGGCTGGGATGATGATTGCTCTGGTGTTCTCTTTGGCTTCGTAGTGTCCCCGGGGGCTCTTGACAGAGCCAGGAGTCCTTGGAAATGGCCCCCTCTGCTCAAGGCCCGTGGAATTAAGGGTTAGGCCTTTCAGCCCGGAACAGAAAGGAAAAATTAATCTTTTCCGTTAGAGGAGAGAGCAAGCCCAGGAATCTATGCAGCATTTTGTCCCCAAGAGTGCTGTAGGCAAGAGGTGTGCCTGGAGAGCATAGGGGGGTCTTCTGGGGCTGGGTGAACCTTCAGTCTAGTTGAGAGAAACCCACCTTTGACATTCTGGACTGTTGGCCTGTAATGGAAAAGGAGGTATGCTATGCCAGGAGTTCCCAGGGTACTGTATATAAACGCATTTGGGTCCAGAAGCGAGAAGAGCCTAGAAAGAAGGGACTAGAAAGTGTCTGCTCTTGACCTTGGCCAAGAAGTTAGGGAAGTGTTTGAAAATGGCATCCTGAAGAGTGAGAGAGAGAGAGCAAGCACTTTGCAGCTTCCTCAGAAGTGCTGGACCCAAGAAATGAGGTCACTGCTGGCGGGGAGGATGGAGCTAGTGGCTGTCAGTGACCCTGCCTCTGTAAGCAGGCTGTGGAATCTTCCTCTGATTCCAAATCTAGCCTTGATGGTTTTTCTCACTTTTCCTGTTGCCGTCTTGTGGGATGCCAGCTCAGCCTACTTGCAAAGGACTCCAGGAGTCCAGTTCTCAGGGTGGGACAGGAGCTGGACAGTCAGTATAGTAGGTTGGATGGGAGAAGGAGACTGACACAGACCTCCGTAGCCCTCTCTCCTTCCTCATCACTCTCTGCTGGCATCTAGTTTCCTTTTTTCATCATCCCAGCTGTAAGCCTTCCTGTGCCCCACCTCCCAAGAGCAGGCTGGAGACCAGGAAGGGGCCACAGGGTTTTCTGGGGCCCAAGAAAGGACCTGAAAGTCAGTGATACGTCAACCCATCCCTCTTAATTTGCCTTGTGAGGGTGAGCAGGATGTATTTAAGATTCGAAGCTGCTGTAGAAGCCACTTGGCAAGCAGCAGTGAAGTAAGACCAGCTTGTTTCTAAGTAAGTAGCCTAGGGGAGGGTGGTCCAGAGCTTGTATGGAGGTTAGCTTAGCTTCACACACAACTTCTGGGTCTGGATAGAGTGGCTGTGTGCCTGCCCACATGGTAAAATGAGGAAGCATGGACTCCTTCCTGTGGAGGTTAGGAGTCAGCTATGTCTGTTGCTTCTAATGGCATCTTACTGGTCAGGACTTAGCTGCACGGCTACAGGTAGTTGCAAGGAAAAGTGGGGAATGCAGCTTTGAGCCGGGCTGCCGTGCGCCTGCCTCAGCTTGAGAGTTCTGAATTACCAGCAGCACCTTTGCAGGAGGGGTGCAAGTGATCGCGCATCACGGGACCCTACTCTCTCCCTGCCTGCCCTGGGATTTGAGTGGGGACTTAACTTGTAGGTGTATGGGAAGAGTGGGCGCCTCTCCCTGAGGCCCCCGATGTTCCCTTGACGCCAGTATGCAGGGCTGCCTGTGGAACGGTCCGTGTTTGTGCGTGCGTGTATATTTATGGGCATGGGTGCATGCTTAGTGTGTATTGTACATGTCTGTATCTGTGTGTCCCTGTACAAAGCTGGTGCATATGTGTAGGAGCCCAGGCTTGGCTTTCCTCTTCCTTAGGACCTGGAGCCCATAGTCTCATCTCCTGTGGCTCCTCAAGATGCCCGAGGCAGGAAGCCCTTGGGGGAACCTTGAAAGCAGGAGGGAGAAGGGAGTACAGGGTCTGTCTGTCTGTCTGTTTTTTTTTCAGTGGGAGGAATGGAATCTTCCTAGCTGGAGGGCTGTTCAGCCGAGAGCCCACCACTCCCTCAGCCCCTCTTGATCCACCTCTTCCTCTCAACAACACCCCAGTATCTCCTGGATGGATCTCATTTTGGAGGTGTCCTGAGGAGTTTCCTTTGATGCGGCTCTCTCTTGAGCCATTTGCCAGACAGTGGGCGTGGTCTGAGGGCAGCTCTGGCGACCGGGCACAAAGCAGGCTGAGGGCCCCTGTGGCTCCTCTCCTCCCGTTGAGGAACATCCCTCATGGAATCTCCTCTTCAAAGAGCCTTCCTCTCTGGTTCCTCTTGGGGCTGAGGGGTGACTCCAGAAGTCTCTGGGGTACTTCTGGGTCCATCTGAGACAGGGCACTCTCCTGAGATACCTGTGGGTACTCCTGTGTGATGCCTCCCCCTTAAATGAAATCCTCACCCCATTCTCCTGGTTCCCTCACCTGCTTCATAGATGGCCCCATTTCAGGAATTTCAGGGCTCCTGCCCACAGTGACCAGTTCAGGGTGGGAGAAGGACACTGGGAAAGCACATAGCCTCTGGGCTAGCCTTCCCTCTCAGACTAGTAGGGGGGAAGCTAATAGAACAGTTTCAGCTAGGCAGGAAGAGGCCTGACTGTGGGCTGAGAGACCACCTGGGTGGGGTGGGAGCTAAAGAGTTTCACATATAACCACGGCATACACTGGGAATTTAAGGGACGGGGGACCCAGGACCATTCCCCCAATATGAAGGGAAACCGAACTGAATGTGAGTGTGGGCACATTCTCCAGGAACCACTGGCCTGTGACCTCTAGACCGGAGGGGCCCTGTCTGGGCCTCCAGCTGGCCTCGTTCACCCAGGGGTCACAGCAGTTGTAGAGGGCAGGCATGATGAAGCTTTGGGGGCAAAGGTGAGATTCAGGGTGGGAAAACAGGACACACCCCAGCAGAAGGTAGGGCCCTGGAAAATGTGGAATTTAAGGACACCAATAATAATAATAATAACAATAGTATTATTTTTTTTGTAAAGGAAAAAAATCAATATGTACATTCTGAAATCATTTTCTCTGTAAATGGTTGAATTTCATTTCACCCTTAAAGGGATGCTTAAAGGAGAAGATAATATTAATAATAAAAAAGCAGCTGCAAAATCTAGAGGAGCTGTGTGTGTGTGGCCAGTTTGTGGGTGCTCCAGGGCAGAGATGGGTGGGAACAGACAGCTCTGGGCTTGCTGCTAAATCTGGACCTGTTGGGCATGAGGTCTCCCCGAGAACTGGATATATGGGGAGAAGTCCCTTCACTTAGGGATGTGATCACCCTGAGCTTGTGTTTCCTACACAATTCCTGGAATTCTAAACACCAGGCTGTTCAGTGGGAGGAAGAAGGAGATCTGTATTCTAAAACTGGTTGCACCTCCCTGTGGGGTCAGTAGGACCCCCTAGGGATCTAGGTAAGCGCCTTGGTGGTCACGCTGACTGACCTGCTTGGAGCATCAGAAGAGCATGCTTCTGCCTGTGGGTACCCCTTACACACAGCGTCGGTCGTGGTCACAGGGCTGCTTAAGTTCTGGACCTGGGGGAAGAGAGTGACCTCTTGTCTGGGAACGACCATCTCTCTCCCCAGATGCTACAACAGTCTCTGAGACCTTGGAGCACGGAGCCTCTTGTCTGTGGCTGGGTCCTCAGGACAGTCTCAGACATGGCAGATCTGACTGGGTCCTTTGTGGGGGAACTGTAATGTAACCTCCACACCAGACGGCAGCTCCAGAAGCCAGGGGTGACAGCAGTGTTAGTGACCTGACACCTGAGGCCAGAACTGCCCAGGAGGTCTCTGGCCACATTCCCAAAGTCCAAAAGTAGTTGAATAGGTACTTGGGGTAGGGTGGAAGGTGAATTCTGCAAAACCCAAGAGTAAAGATGAAGGCACTCCAGCCTGACCAGAGGAGGGCGGCAGCAAACTTCTTGCTACACCCACGCCAGTGTCGCCATAGTAGCATATGTTACAGGGCG